CACCTGGGGCAGGGACGTACCCAAGGGGTGGCACACTGGGCACGTGCCCCCCCCCCCCCTCCCTACGAAACTTTTTTAGCCATAGCATGAAGAGCGAAAAAATGGTCATTTTCAGGGGGTGCCCCTCTCAAAATCTAAATGGTGCGCCCCCCCCTCCCCCTCGAAAAATATTTCTGGTTACGCGCTTAACCTGGGGTTCCTAAACGTGCACCCAAATCTGAGCAGACGCTCTATAAAGCTCATAGTGGACTGCGATAAATTTCTGATGCTGTTCTATGCGACATGCGAGATTCTTTCGCAGACGGCGTATGGCACGCTTCGAGGTATACACATGCGGCAGAGGACAAATTCCTTCGACGAAACGTGGAGGGGGGCACTTTATTTGCATACATACCACACGCTACACCAAATAAAGAGAAGGCCGTCGCAATCTCCGCGGAACCCAGACTCGGCACCTACTGTCTTCCGGGATCCCGCCCACATTCAAATTACATCCCCCGTATTTCGACAGGCCCGAGGGTCACACAAGAGCGTAAACTCTTCGTACGCGAGTGTTTGTGAAAGGACATACGAATGTGCGAGCGACTTTTGGCTGCGACGTACATATATATAGTAGCGGTGCGTTTGGCAGAAGCAACATGCTCTTCTAGAATACAGCAGCTGTGTACCTCTTCGCATAAACAAACAAACGCAATCGCCACACAGAGGTACTTGTGCAAAAAGGAGTCTAGTCTTGATTTGATGATTGATATGTGGGGTTTAACGTCCCAAAACCACCACATGATCATGAGACGCCGTATAATGGAGGACTCCGGAAATTTCGACCACCTGGGGTTCTTTAACATGCACCCAAATCTGAGCACACGGGCCTACAACATTTCTGCCTCCATAGGAAATGCGAAAAAGGAGTCTATAGTCTATATGCACGGCCTATTGTATTTGCCCGTTCGGACATATGGACCAAAAACCTGCACAGCAGCTCTAGAGCAAGCTAAGGACCAACCAGCATGAGAAGGAACTATAAATGATAGGCGTATACTCTAAGAGATAGGAAGACAGCAGAATGGGTCAGAACCTGGTGTAGCCTGTATCCTACGATCGATCGTCCGATGGTCCAATATAGATTTCCAAAGGTCACTTTGAGCGCCCGAATAAGAAGATGGGAAGTGCACTAGAGACGGCAGAAGGTAAGGTGGATCGACGAAATTAATAAATTTTGAGACTTGAAATGGAATCAACTCGCACATGGTACGAAAGCTTACAGATCACTGGCGAGGCCTTCATCCCGAAGTGTACATAAGATAGGCTAGCTGCTGCTGCTGCTGTGGATGATGACCAACTGTGTTTGTTATCGCAACTTTTGAGCCGAAGTGCGATGTATGGTGATAAACAGCTGTAAAAAGCTATATATAAGAAATGAAAGTATTAAATATTTGCCCAAAGAACCTCGAGAAGGGACCTAAGTTCACCTTGCTCAATTTTTTTTTTCGCTTTTGTTTTACTGTCCCAAATGAATAAGAAAATGATAATCAACCCAGTCACCCTCACTGACGAAAACTGCGAATAGGGCACACAGTTTATTCGGAAACACAGCCGCCAAGGCACGGTTTTGCACAGTTATGTCGCTACATGCTTCCTCTCTTCTGTTCCTCATAACTTTCGTATCGTTCCTAAATCAAAATAATGATACATATCAAAGCAAATTTAGCGCGATGCTACAGCAAAACACATAAATCTCGACACAGCAAGCCTCGAACTTACCATCACCACATTGAGCATACCGGCTGCTTCCAATCTTCCCAGAATGCTTCGAGACAAGCGCGACCGGTCTATCTTCGATCGCACTAAGGAGCTGGTGCGCTCATTGCGCTGTGTGCCTAGTTTGCAAAATAGCGACGTTCCCTTCTTGTTTACGCAAGCTAAATATACGCATAGTTACCTACACGCTTCCCAATATTTCCAGCGAACAAATAATTAAAGAAGCGGGCGAGGTGCGATCAAAAGTAAGAAAAGAGGAGGGTTGTGCCGCCCCAGTAGAGCATACAGTAGCCATATCCCGCCGCGTAGCACGTCTTCGAAATGGCGACTATCCGTTTCCGCCGAGCGGCGCTCTCCGCGACGACACCGTCCTTAACGGCGCGGCAGCCGTTAATTCTTGTTGCTACTGCGCGCTCTTGCTGCTGCTGCTGGGTTCAGCCTCTCCCGCCATGCTCGTATGTACCTCTCCATCTCTGGCCATCCACCACAGCCTCGCACGCGGGGCGAGTGCCATGCAGTCTCGTTTGGCAAATGCTGACAGCCACTTCCATCTTTAAACTCGCTCTGCTCGCTTACGCAAAGCAGGGAGTGGTGTCCTCTAAAAGAAAACAGCAACGAGATATTTAGCCAAGAATAAAAAGAAAGACAGGCGAGGGAGAGAGAGAGAGAGTCACGTCGTATATACGCCGAGCAGTCAAACGCGTGTTCTGCGCACCGCGGATACAAACATGCTGAACGCACGCGCGAAAAAGAACAGGGCTGGGTCCCGCGCTACGACCGGCCGGGGAAGCTGCGAATTAGGCGCTGCCGACGAAATGCCCCGCGCTGATGCGAGCACGCGCGAATCGCGATGCCCGGTTTGGCCCTTCGGAAAATTTCACATTTTTTTTTCACCCTCCATCTTGGTTCCTTAGTGCTGGGTGGGGTGCGAGCGTTATAAGGCTGGAATGGCGCAGAATTGGAGGGTGTAAGGTGCGTCGAGGAGACGGCGTACAAGCATAACATTCGGCGGGCAGCAACATTGCGATCTTGTTCGCTCCTTAGGGGGAAAAAAAAATGGACATTAGCGGAAAAACCACCCGAGGTGCCGCCTTGTTTTCTGGTCGTTCGCGTCCCAAACGACGCGCAGCCCTTGACTGGCGATTTTGGAGCCGTATTATAAACAACCAAGGAGGTTTACACGTATAGTTTCTTAAGGTTTGCAAATAAGCGGGGAGGAAATCGTCTTGCTCTCTAATTATTCTGTTCTTTCGACTTCTTTTGAACTTTCCCGTGTTTTCTCTTGAGCTTTAGAGCTCTAATGCCTGTTTCCGTAAGTATATATAAGGATCGCACAGAGTTACACGATCCGCCAAGATGTCCAGGACGAGTATAAACACATTGAACTCAAGCATATAGGCTCACGTATTTCAAAGTTCGGTGTCTTGAAGTGCCAAAAAGTTATGAGAGGCGTTACCCTAAGAACAATTGCGAACTACACATTATTGGCATAGCCTGCGTAATGTACGACGCTGTGTCCAGTGAATTTGCGACCCCTTTCGAGTCCAACACACAAGTGAATGGAAATGCTGTCACTACAATTATAACTACATGCGAATTGGCTGCGCGTGAATAGTCAAATTAATAATCTTCGGGTGAAGAGAGAAAATTATCGCGTCATTTTGAAATCCAGTAAAGTGCGATACGGCAGCCTCAGCAATACAAGGCAGTATCTACACACTTTCTGCCTGCGGCAATTTGAATAAAACGTTCAGTTGGTTTCAATATACCATGTCTTCAATATGTATTTTTTTTCTTTCAGGAACTTACCCGCATGGAACACTGCCGCACGCTATGTATCCAGGAACGTTCAGGTGGGACTGCAAGTTTTACCCTCCAGACACGCGGAACACTCAGCGCCACATGGTGCTAGAGTGTCGCAACAATCCGGACGTACCACCGTGGTCATCGCCAAGTGCAAACGAAGGGAAAGAAAAGGACCCAGAGGAAGTATTCGAAGACGAGTGGGAGGCTTTGCTGGTGACGCAAGACCCTGACAACCAGCTACGATGGGTGAACCAGGCTAGAGCGGCGGCAGCGAGCCAAGGCTACCTGGACTGAGGAGGCCACTCACCTTAGGGCTGAAGTACAGAGAGCCTGGTCCAAATAAAGTTCATTTCATTCATTCATTCATTCAAATCGCCATCATTTTGAAGCATTTAACTTCTGTGCGTGTCTTCTGCAAGTTTTCAATCTACATCGTCACTTCTGTGAGTGTTGCCTGTGCTCGAGTGCAAACTGTTTTGAAATGGGAGGACTCTGTCAGGTGTTAATGCCTTTGAGCCGTGTTTTCTAAGTGTTTATTCGTACAAGGGAATAAAAATAAATCGATTGCAATGGTGGCACGCAAGAAATTTCGCATGTACATTGTCCTGAGACCTGAGGCAATAGGCTGTAGTTTGAGCTACTCCAGTCAATAATTTCTTATAGTTGCGGAATCAAGAAGGAAATAAAGTGACAATCTGCATCGTTTATATTAGCTGTTGGTCCTCGCTTTCTTAAAATGATAACGTCCATTATTCACGCGCTTTTCATATGCGCTGTCGTCAACTGATCCGGTAAATAAGCAAAATGTCTAAGTCGTAGGTGTACTACTATTACGCTGCGCTTTGCTTAACCCTGTCGGCCCTGGTGCCGTCAATTGACGACACCACACAAAATTTTTCCTAGAACCTTTAAAACATAGTGAAACCTGGTCATTTTTGCAGAGGTATTTTCTCAACTATTCTCACTGCTATCAACACCACCGTTGTTTCATTTTCGTGGAGCATGGAGCAGTAAAGAAGTGCAATCTGGACCGAGGTCATTGGTGACAATGACGCCAGCAAGCACAGGTGGGAAGACGGCACTTTCGGGTTGGTGTTCTGAAGTTGTTTTAGGAGCTTCAAAACATTGAAATACAACGTTTTTTTTAGATTTTGTGCACTCGAGGGCACAGCAGCAAAAAAAATACAATTTTTATCATTTCCTTAATATAAGGCCATGATTAGCTAATTCGATGTCATGGCAGTAAATCCATAAATATTTACACTACTGACTAAATTTTTTCGTTTATAGTCTTCTGAGACCCCAGTTATTAGTGAAATAATACTAAGAATTTGCCTGGCAAAAATGAAAGTTCTAGGGCTGAAAGGGTTAATAACATCCTGCTGCTTAAGGCGTACTTGTCTGACGCCAGAGAGAAGAAAGAAAGGGCGACTGACCTGTCTGCCGGGCGTCCTCCGCCGGTATCGAGTCGTTCAGGGCGCTGTGGTCTTCAGTGGCGGGGGGTCGCATAGCCCGAGGCTCCGCTCCGGGCCGGGTATGGGCTGCACAGAGAAGACGACGCGCCTTGTCAGCGAGGATGGCAAGAAAAATAAAATTATACACGCGAACCCATTTGAATCCCGAATATTAAACGTACTGCATGCTTTAGTAGTCGGCATTGACATTGATACTTATGTACGATAGTCACAAGAATGCTTTAGCATTTCTTTACAGGCTCTACATAACGATCCGAAAAGCTCGCAAACTGGCCTCTACAGAGACATGGATGTGTAAAACGATACTAAATGTTACACTTAAAATTATTCTCCCTGAGCTTTATCATTTGTCTGGCAGTGTGTGTGTTAGAATAACGTCTACGTGTTAGCGTCCGCATAAGCAGTCACATACAAACACATACAAAAAAGAGCACTGTCATAATAGCATAGAAAGGATGTCTTGAAACGAGGTGACAGTCGGTGATAAATAAGGAACATACATCTTTACACATTATGTAGAACGTCCTCGTTTTGATATTGCCGATAAATGCATTATGCGTTTCAGTCGACATGCTTTTTTCCAATGTTAAAAGCAACAGGAAAGAAATGACAGTTGTTACACACGGACGACTTACGTTTATTGATGTCATACGGATGTTTAATAGCGCGCCGGCGTACTCTCATGCTTCGCAGGTTGTTACGCCGTACATTCAATAGCTGGAGCGGCGAGAACGAGCGGGGTCGCCCGAGGTCGACAACCGACCGTAAAAACTTTAAAGCTTCAACGCGAGAGGGCGCCGTTCGCACACCATGAAGCACGCGCGCTACATTTACACGACAAGAGCGCGGACGAGCGAGCTTCAGAGTACCACTGCGAAAATCGCACACCGCCGCCATTCTCCGTTCCGCAGTTGCTTGCCCGCTGCTGCAGGACATTAAGAGCTCGCGGACAAAAGACGATTAAAGAAAGAAAAAAAGATGTCGCGAGAGACAGCCTCCCCTTTCCTGGAGGGGGGGGACGCATTAAAAAGAAAAAAAGTCGAATTACACGTTTCTAAATGAGTGACGAAGCTGGCCATGCAGATGAGAACGAAAGAGGCGGGAGAGGAGGCTGTGGATGATGTTCGGAGCGGCGTTCATTCGGACGAAAAAGCTTTGTTTCAAAACGCGAGTCCTGCGGAGAGGACGAAAGAAAGAAAAAAGGAAAGGTCCAAGCAGAGATGGAGATAGCAGCAGCGCGCGTAGCGGCATACAAGCGATATTACGCTCCGCGGTCGGTTGGGGGCTCGGGTTCTGTGGGTCGGGGTTTGGCCATGGGCAGCCCAACCCGCCGGGTTTTGGCGCTGGCGGGCGCCGAGGTGACGTGCCCGAAAGAGCGGTGGTGGTCGCGGACCATTGCCGATTCTACGCGCTCCCGAGCTCGCCGCTCGGTGACGCGTGGTCTGATTGCGGAGCCCCGAGACAGGCGGAGAGGAAAGGAACGAGAATTAAAATAAAATGCAAGAAAAATGGTCGCTCGTTTCACGTGCATCGGGCAGAATCAACGAGGCCGGTCTCAGAACAAAATGATAACGAAGCTGCGCAGGCGGCACGCGAAACATGCTCGTCGTACACATCCGACGAAGGAGTCACGAGCCGAGCCCTTTGGTTCCTCCCCGAGGCCCGATATAAGGCGCGGCCGAGCAAGAATTCAATCCATTAATGTTTTCGCCGGGAATTATAAATCGAGTTTGCATATCTAATGAGCTCCATTTCGCCTCTCTGATTTTCGCCCTCGCCTTTTTTTTTTTGTCCCCCACACTTTACCCCCTGGCTTTTCGGGCCGTGTTATACATACCCACACACGAATAATTCTTTTATTTTTTTTTTCAAACCACTCTCTTTTCAGGCAGCCCGTTTTCGTTTTATAGGTCCTCAACTCGCATACACTCCACCGAACTTTGATTTCAACCCTTTCTACGGCTCGCCCGTTCCTAATTCTCCATGTTTCTGAATTTTATGACATCTTTATTTTATATTATTTATTTATTATCTAGCTTTTTATAGGTACAGGTTGTTCCGTTTTTATAGCTTTTGAACGGGTGCCACGGGACACGCCGAGCGAGAAACGCTGAACGGAATAATAGGCGAAAAAAAAAAAGAGACCTTAGAAAGACGCCGAGGCATTTTGCCGCACTCTGATTTCTGATTCGCGCTCGGGGAATCCACTGGTGCGGCATCAAATCTGCTCTAACGAACTTGTTCCCGCGAGAATTTCGGCCGTCTTCGCCCTTAGCCGCCGCACAGCGTCAAGACGAAGCATACGCGCATGTGCTCGGAGCCCTTTTTTCGAGGACAGGCACCACGCATGAGGATCACGTTCTCTCTTCGGGATCCGCACGCCCTCGAGAAAGAGCTTCTCTGACGCGCCTCGGAAGGGTGGATATCGTTATGCATCGCATATAAAGTTAAGAGGCATTTGGAGAGGAAGAAGAAGAAGAATGACGAAGCGTGAATGTAACGACTATTCGTTCATCCCGGGTAACGAGAACATTCGCACTCTTTCCCACTTCTCTTTCTTTTCACCTCTTGTTTCATACGGGCGAAGAGCACGCCGATGACGTTACTTTAGACTGTGACCAGTGAACACAAGATCAAGTTTGGAGAAGTTGAAAGAGGTAATGAGAGAAACGAAGAGAGAGATATCACACAGTTTGCAACCCCAGAGGAGGGAAGGAGACTTACATGCTCCAGTCGGCATGTATACACGTCTACGGTGTTCGAAGATCCCGCAACCACAGTCGGGCGTCTGTGCACAATGCACGAGATATACACAAGCTAACGGAGGCTGTCGTGTTGGTTCCAGAGCTATTGTTCGTGAGAAAACGGCACGGAATGATGAGAAAATGAGGTGGAGCGCATCCACTTTCCAGTGAGCCTATCAGAAAACTTGAAGACTGCAGTAACGACAGAGAGAGGACTCACGTAAAGGGGTGGCCGGGGCAAAACGAGTGAAGCATCGCGTTTTGTGCCTGTCGTCTTTTCAGCAATTAAAGCACCGGAGTGCGCCTTGGAGAGTTCATTGTGCGTGGTCGCCGTCATTAAGTGTTGCGGAGCACGCTTCCTGGCTCCTCACAGACACGCGCGCGTTTTTTGTTCGTTTATTTGTTGCTGAATAAATGACAACGACGGGTGCGGAGAGGAAGGGGGCGCCGGCTGTGTGTTTATGCGTGCAGCCGTTCAGCGATCAGGTCCGACGGACGAGACAAAGGCTTGGATATGGCGTCTTATTCACGGCGTAAAAACACAGTCCGGAACTGCTTCCGTGGCTCGACGGTGAGAGAACGGGTTTCCCGAGAGCCCCAGTGGGTTCGCCGGGGGTTGGGGAACACTCGTGGCTCGAAAGCCTTCTCCGACCAGTGCGTATACCACGAGAAGAGCCAGAAAACTGGGGGGTTGGAAATGACGTACCGCAAACGGGGTGGCTCTTGTTTTGCGGAAGGGTGAGGGGGGGGGGGGGTCTCCCTCGCCACTTCGGGCACGCCCGCCCGTCCGCAAGCCACCCTCAAAAACCCGGGCGCCGACTTGTCCTCACAGAGTCGCGCCGAACCGCGAAGGGATAAACAATGCGCGCGACTTGTTTGCCTGTTTACAGCCGCCCAGATGCGCTTTGCTAATGATGCCTCTCCGGAGCAGGCGGTGGCGGCGGCAAACCGCTGCCCGCGTCGCGGCCTCCATTGTACGCAATGAGTGGCACGCGCTATGAGTTCAAGAAGAAAGGGACGCGCGCACCGACCACGCGGCGGCGACCGCGTATACAAAGCTGCCACGCGTCCGACTAGCAGTGGCTGCGGCTTCACTGCCTGGTCCCGACGACTACGTCGTTGAGGCTCCCTACCGCATCACTGGGTTCCTTGCTTCCTGCTACGCGCCCAAGCACCGGTGTATATATGGGTCTCTTTTTGATGAATGACCGAATAAGATCGTTTTCTACGCCGTGGCGTTTTTTTTTCCGCATCGCGCGGGCGTCACGACCACGCCTGTCTGCGTTTGACGTGGATACCCTCGGTGCGACGACCTGTCTTTGAGGACCGCGTCACTTTTCGGGTTTAGATGACGCACGTATACGTCACAAGGGAGAATTTGTGAACGCGACTATAGCGAGCAAGTGAGAGTGCAAAGAGACACGCTGCGTTCAGTGCAAGTTGGCGCGGGCAGAAGTTCTCAAGGCTTTGTTCTAAGTTACATCGAATAAGCCAAGTTTAAGTCCACCGCTCTCACAGCTTCTGCCGGGCGACCAATCGGAAGGCTACTACAGGGCCTTCCTCTCTTCAAGTAACATACACTCTCTCTCGTTGTCCTCCGCTCAATCGCGCACGTCGCGGAGCGCCTGCAGCAGCAGCAAAAGTGAGCATTTCACGGAACCTGCAAAGCAATGGCGCGATCGCCAAGTCTCCTCACTTTCGCCTTTTTTCAACACGTATACACACGCTTCCTCGAGCCTCAGCGCAGCTAAAGTTCTCTCCTCTTGCGTCCCGGCCCAGAAGTAATGAGTCGATGCGCCGCGACCGAGGAGCAGTTAAAATTAATCGCGCAAGCCGCCGGCGAAGATCCGTTCGCGCCTTCACCTCCCCGCATCCTCTTGGAGCTCTTCCTCCCCCGCTCCTCATTCTTCCTCGAGGCAGAAATCAGAAGAGATCGGAAGGAGGAAGAAGAAAAAGCTCGAAGAGGAGAGCTTTTGCCGGGATGGCGGTTGTTCGGCCACCCCAAAATGAAACAAGAGACGGTAATTTATTGTTTCTCCAAAGGACTCGAAAGCAGAGAAGCCTCTCTGGTTGCCCGCGCCTTCACCGCGAAAGCTCTCCAAGCGTCTGGGGCTCCACGCGGGCCCCTTCCCCTCGTTCACTTTTAATTGTTTTCGGGCCGGCGCCTACTGGTCGTTATAAATCCCCTTTCCTCGCAGGGCCTGTAGAGCGCGATTCGCCTGCCAGTCTCTTAAATTTTCTCTCTTGCTGCTTTCTCCTCGCCGTGGAGCCTGACAGCCTGCGCGGCAGCCGGGAATAACAGACGTTGATTTACTCGCCTGG